TACCATAGGCAACACATGTCAGCAGAAATTAAAAAACAACAACAACTACAGTTACTGCTAATGTAATTTGCGGCAGCATCAAATGCCGAGGATTAGTGTGTGCCGCAAGCATAAACTGTCAACGACTGAGTTGTCCATAAAAAAAAATTCAAGTAAAATAAAATTGTATAAAACTCAAACCGCTTTAACGGTGCTGCGCATGGCTTTTCCGCGAAGAGGATTTTACACAAAAAAAAATTAAAAATAAATTCGAGAAAAGTTTCCAATTGGAAGTTAGCCACTTTGACATGTGCCGCCCCATGTGGCACGCGATGTGTTAAACGTTGATTTTTGTTGTTGTTGTCAACCTGTTAACTGCTGTCCAACGCGCAGCGGAAACTACATGTTAGCGGCCAACACATTTAGTGGCATTTACTTACAAATATATACATTTTTTGGTTGTTTAACGCTTTTGTTGTTGTAGCTGTCTAGCATATATTTTGGCCACATCATTGCCGTTAAATCAACAAAAATGAAATTGTAGCAAATCAATTTTCATTAGCAGATAATGTACATACACAAAAAAACCGCATAAAACTGGCGAATGGCTTGGCGCGCATGCGCAACGTGCACACGCTTACGGGCGCTGGCAGCAAAGCAGTAGTAACAGCAAGAAATGCACTTTAATTGGAGGGAAAATGCAACGGCTTACAAGCCAACTAAGCAGCGCTAATGCGCACAAACACACACACATATATATATATGTACTTTCCAAGGTATGTATGTGTGTCTGCCAATGTTGCACACGCGCTACCACAAAAGCAACTGGTTTCTTATACCCTGAACAGAGTATAAGTTAAGTTTGCTCCGAAGTTTGTAACATCCAAAGATAGACGTCAGAGACCCTATAAAATATATATACATATGTGTATAATTGATTAGGGTGACGAGCTGAGTCAGTTTAGACATGTCCCTCTGTCCGTTTGTATATACGCGAACTAGTCCCTCAGCTTTCGAGATATGGAGCTGAAAATGAACAACACAACTCATTTGTCTTAAGCGTCGATATCGGATTACTATAACATATAGCTGTTATACAAACTGATCCATCAACATCAGATTAAATTATATTTTTTTATGCTTAAAGCCATAAAGAATTCACCTGTGAAGGGTATTACTGGCGAAGCTAACGTTTTTTTTTATCGTATTAATCCTACTTAGAAGCCGTTCACTTGGCTTGCGCTCGCTACAGCACATACACACATATGTATATATAACTTTCCACTTTGAATATTTATACATGTATAGCGCTGCCTCTTCTACTCCAATAAGTGTTTTTACATACACATATGCATGTGTTAGTGTTTGTACTTTCAACTGCTTAGCTTGCAACCACCAACCAAATTCCAATAAATTGTTTTCTTAACCACTACTTGCGCCCATATATACAGATGCATGCATACATATTTATCACTATTTACATGCATACATATGTATGTGTATGTGCGCGCTGGTGTCACTCAAATTTTCCTATCACTGTGTGTTTGTGCATAACTAAAAGGCATTACGAAATAGCATTTGCTTTGGAGAATAAATCAAAAAAAATTTAGAAGGAAAAGTGCAGACCATCATTATTATTTATGACTAGAAATCCTATAGGTACACACATATGCACATGTGTATGCTAGTATTTAATACATAAAAGCAATGCAGTAGCCGCATATCTGTGTGTAAGCACAAGCGCTGCACTTCAATCGGATTTTTACTGTATTTACTAATAGAATTTGTTACACCCAATACTTGCAACGAAACACACACACACATACATACAAATATATATGTACATATATATGAGAAATTTAAGCACATATACAACACATACGAGTACGCCACACATCTATAGCTGCAGCGTATTTCTAAGCTCAGCAGCGCTTATTTGTGTGAAAATGATGAACTCACGCGCCACGCCATTGTTGCCACCGCTGCCATAACTCAATGTCAAATTAGTGATATTTAAATTGTGATTAACTGTATTTTGAAAGGGTTGAGCGAAAGTTGCCGCAGCTACTCTCACATTGATTTGATATTTTGATTTGATATGAGTTTACGAAATAAAGTTGCTGCCGAGGGAACTATGGCAGCACTTTAGAGTTGAAGCAGTTGCAGCAGCAGCTTATAGAAAAATATTTATAAATACTTACAGCTGATCCTGGTACTTATATACATACATATACATATATATAATATATATATACATATTACATAAAAGATATATACACAGTTTAAATGAAGCAGTCTGAGTCAAATTTGATCTTAAGTGTACATGTGCAAGTGCTTGTAGATAAGAAAATTAAAGCCAATCAATTCTTTAATTTGCCTGACAAGCGTTTATTCGACTTCAGATATTTAGAAGATTGCCATTTTAAACCACATACTCATACCCACATACATACGAGAGCGGTTTGTTAAGTTCGTAATGAGATAATGCTTTTTTTCGACACACATGATTTTATTCATATTCTTGCCTTTTTTAAAAACTGTTTTAAACTTAATTGTCGTTCAGTTCCAACGCTATAACGTAGCATTTCGGAATCTCGAAATTGATCTTTGCTTCAACGCAAATTTCTTCACTTGACTCAATATCTCTTTATGCGCAACATATCCTTCGAATTTTTTACAATAACATGTTCAGTACTCGCTGTTGAATAGTTATATAATATATGCGAAAAAAGCGTAGATGACGTCATTGATTATATTCTGCAATTGTGAGAGTATACAAATATAACATTGCATTTTAGTGTCGAAATATTAGCTGTCTTCGATTCGCCAATTCTCTGCTCGCTTCTGCGCTCTTGTCAAAAAATATTATGTAAAAGCAACAACAAAGTTAACGAGTTGAATTCGTACAAGAGAGTATAACGCTTGGCGAATCGAAGACAGCTATTGAAAAATGTATTGTCAAAATTATCAGTTTTTCAAAAAAAACTGTTTCGAATATGTCAAGGATAGGACCAACAAACGTTGGGAACAAAAACTATATTGAAAGTACTAAATCTCTTTAAATTTGACGCTTATTTTCCAGACACAGCATTTTTATAGCTTATAGATAAAAATACATATATATATATATATCGATAATATCGGTGCTTAAAAGTCTGGTTGGTGTTTGGCGAAGCTGCTTTTTCCATATGTTGTCTGCAACCGATAAATGGATCAATCTCCAAGCATATTCCAAACTGCTATTGAATTTTATGAACAGCAAAGAAGCAAAAGCGGAGAAAAATGGTCGAGAGTTTGGCATTGGTTATCAAACATATCAGCTATCGGTGAAGTGCTCTGAACTTATCTCAAATCTGCTTAGGTGCTTTATTTCTATTTCCGTCATTTCAACTGGATGTCTAAAAGTATGAGATCCGAGGTGTTTTATGCTTGATCTGGCAGAGAGCAAGTCTTCAGATGATTCTATCTGATCTTCTTCCAAACAGCTGAGGCAGCTGGCGTCCGGTAGAATATTCAATCTTACCGCTTGAAGCCTCATCAAACAATGTCCAGTTAGAACACTTACAACCATTGGAAAGTGAACTTTGCTGAAAGCGAGGAGTTCACTACAGCAATTACGATTTAACCTGGATCAGAAGTAAGCTGCTAGTAGTTGACCAACGCTTGCTGAGCTGATCTGACGTCCAATAAAACAGTAGTATATCACAAGAGTCGAACGGAGTTCCAATCCGTAGCCATTTCGCAGTTATTGAGACTGAAGTAGTTGGCATAGCTAGCTCAGCAGAAAAAAGTCTCAATCCTCACTCTTTATAAGCCTAAGGATTTCTCAAGAAGCCGGCCAGTGGCTAAATGCAACCATCTTATTTTCACACGAACCTAACAGTCGGTCATTTCTGCGGACCTAACGCGCTGCAGTAGCTAATCAGAATAGATTGCAATACTCATAGCGAACGCAACAACAATATCAAATAATAATAAAAAAATAGAACAAAAAAAAATATATGGAAGAAACCGCCGAACGCAGCGACCAACAGTGAGGCGATAAATAACAGCAAAACGGAATATTAAAATTAAATCAAAATATTGGCGGCTTAAGATCAAAAGACAGGCAAAACGTTAAGCAACTGTGGCGAATTGCATGGAAAAGATTTTCTCAATTTTCCTATCGCCAAGCAATGCTGCGAACGCTGATCGTCGATTAGCGTGTACAATCATCAGCGGTGGGGAGCGCGGTGGTAACGCATAAGAATGGTGCGCAATCTTTCTTTTTTTACGCAAACTAGATTTGCCGGCGAATGCAAATGCGCAGGCTTTTTAACTCACCTAAAATGCTTACAACAAAAGCACAGTGGTTGCACGAAAATATAGCAAAAGTAGCGCTGAGCAGTCGTTAGACAGCAACAAGTCTGGCAGTGAAGTGGCAAGCGCTTACACAAGCAAACATACTGAAATTACAAGAAAGGGGCGTGGCCAATAAGCCGGATCGTTGTAGAAATTTACACAGAAAAGCAGCCATTGTGGTGTGAGCAGCGCGCCAATAGACGATCGCGCGCGCTCCTTTCCCCACACGCGAGCGCAAGCAAAAAGAAATAATTGCTTTCACTGCAAAGAGCAGCAATTGGCTGTTCAATATTTGTTTTTGCTACAGCACACACACATACACACACACAGCATGCATATTTGCCACTCTATTGTATACACAATGCGCCGTTACGTTACGCAGTGGGTGGGTGCAACGATCGGCGGCAAGCAAGTGAGCAACAACAAGCATGCGCACTGAGCGCGCAGTGCAACGAATGCATTTCAGGGTTGATTTCACATCACATATTGTAATTGTTTGTGGTTAACTCGTAGTTGTTGCACAACTCAAAATATTGCGCACTCGCTCGCTCACTCACACTCTCTGGCCTTGTTACCTTACCTGTTTGGCGTACAATACCAACAAGTCGTGCGTCAGTGGCCGCTCACTGCTTGTCTCTTGTTGCTTTCCCATTGTAAATTAGGTTTGCTGTCGTCTGAGAATCTCAAGAAAGCGTGCTGGTGCTCGGACTGACCGTTTCAAAATCAGTTTCAAGCTGGCAATCGAACGAGTCACACATTTGGTGTAGAGAGTTTTCAGCAAGTAACACATGAGTCAACTGCGACGCTCTCAGTAGCTTAGAAAGAACATATATCTATATTTCTACACATATATACTAGAGATCAAAGTACAAACTATATGTTGGTGGAAAAAGTGTCGTCCGTTGAGTTAATTCGCTTTGGAAAATTCAGTGAAAATAATCGATATTAACGCTTATTGGGCAGCGCACGTGACGTGTTCAATTTGACAAAATAAAACGAACTGAACGCTTTTTTAAGACGTGAATTGTTGTAAATAACAGTTGAAAAAACATTCCAGTAACAAAAAGTGTTGTGTACAATAAATAAAACAACAAAAATAAGCGAAAAAAACTTAGTGTTAAAAAAATAACATACATTTTTAATTTTATGCGCTTTTATGCTTGCAAGGTTGCATGAAAACCAGTGATTTTTTAAGAAAATCTACAACAACAATCTCACACCAACAAAAATAAAAGAAAGATGACAGTCTCAACATTAAATATGACACCATACTTTGCTGGATATCCCTTCCAAGGTAATTATGCGATTTTTTACTATTAATTTCTTAAACTTATTTGTTGTAATCGAAGCGTTTTAGAGGTAATTTTGATAATTTTTTAAAAATATAAAAAAAAAAAATTAAAAACATATCATTAAAAGTTAAGTTAATGAAAAAAAATATATATTTTTATAAAAAATATAATTAAAAATTTTTTTAAAAATACAATAAAACAACAAAAAAATTAATAATATTTAGTTTTACTTAAAAAAATATTAAGAAAAACAAAACTAAAAAAAGTATAAGAAAATATAAATTAATTTTACAAAAAAAATTACTTTTTTCGTATTAAAAAAAAAATTTATTCGAAACAAAAATTTATATTTTACAATAACAATTTTCCTTTAAAATTAAAAACAATTAAATTATGCTATTTTTTTGCTTAAGTTAAGTTTTGCAACGGATAACCTAAAGGTAACTTTTAAAAAATAATCATTAATAAACAATTGAAAGAAAAATAAAATATTTTCAAATGTAAAGTTAAAAAAATATTTTTCGGAAAAACATATTAAATAAAAAAAATATATATGTATATCCAAAAAAAAATTCTCGAACACAGATTTAATTTTTTCTAAAATTGATTTTACTCTAAACTTAAAAAAAAATCACATTATGCTTCTTTAGTTTAACTTGAAAAATATTAAGGATATGCAACTTTTAATACATAATATATTAATAAAAAAAAACAAATGTTTAGCGTAAAGTCAAGGAAAAAAATATTGTTATAGAAAATATGAATAAATTTAATAATCAAAAAAAAATTTTCACTATTGCAAAAAAAAGCTTAAATAAAAAATTTCATATTTTCTAATAACAATTTTCTTAAGAAATTAAATTAAAATAATTGTTTTTTGTAAGAAAATTGTAAAATCCATGAAATATTTTTTCTGAAACTAAAATAGTAATTATAATAAATAGTAATTATAATAAAAAGCATTCAAAAATAAATAGTAATAAATTAAAAAATAAAAATTACTATAAATGATATAAAAAACTTTAAACTTAAAAATACATACAAAAACATATTTTTATTGACACATTTTAATAAAGTTATTCTGAAAATATCACAATCCATAAAAAAAACTTTAAACTTGCTTTAAATTGAATAAAAATATTTTCTAATCGTGAAAAAAATAATTTGTGTTACAATTCCCCTAAAATATACTAAATTTATAACTATTTTAAGGTTTACAAATTCAAACCAATTTTATTTTTAAATTTTTTCGAAATTTTTCAAATAATTCTGTTATTTTTTGAACTCGCATTCAATTTAAACTTCAAAACCTGCTTTAAAGCCAGCAATACCACTCACCAACAAGTCAAACTTAATACTTTTTCGTTGCTAAGGCTTCTTTGCAACACACACATACACATACGCTTCGCAGCGCCAAATGGTCTGGTGGAAATATCCATTTCCAATTATAAACAATTTTTAACTAATTTTCATTATTATTTCACAACTCATGGCGTACAAGTGAATGTACCCAACAAAAAAGGTAATAATCATAATAGCAACAACAACAAACGCAACAAAAAGTAATAGTAGCAGCAAATTTTAGACAAGTCACTGCTGCTACCATTCAAGAAAGTCGATTTTTAATAGCAAACGCGAGCAGCTTAAAACTCCGATTTTCATTAAACAACAAAAAATAGAGAGAAAATAAAAAATTATAAAAAAATCGAAAGAAATCAAACACCGCAAATGCGCTCCAATTCAGTAAGATAACAAAACAACTACAACAAACAGCAAGCATACAATCCTACACGTTCTTGCCTGCAACAACATACAGTCAAGCACGCTACACTACTACTACACACATACACACAATTTACCTGCCAACTGGCAGTCAGTCCGTCATTACGCCGCTTTGCAGCAGTCCACCACCAGTCAACACGGTGGGTGCGCGTGGCTTGCCGAGCGCAACGAAGCAACTAAAATTCCAATAATCATGATCAGCTTTGTGGCTTATTGATTGCGATCGCAACAACAATAACAGCAGCAGCAAAGTAAGAAAAACAACAACAAAGAGCCAAAATCAAATGAGTATAAGAAGACTCAGTGGCTACAGAACAATTTGGCCGCGCACAGCTGTGCCATGCTGCCGATCTTCGTCTGCGCCGGTCTGTCATATCACAACCACCGCCACTGCCACCCTCCGTGCTTGTAGCTTTCTTCACCAACTTAAGCTGCCAAGTTGCGCCACTCGATTTGGTCTTTGGCTTTGCGTACAACGCAGACGTTTTGGCGCGTCGGCAAAGTCTTTGATCTAGCGATCGCGCGCTCTTTCGCCGCCTGTGCCGCCAACACTTGCAATGATCCGCAACACCACTGCAGCGCTTTTGGTGGTATTGTTGTGTGTAGCGGCAGCACAGCACGTTCATCATCATCAGCAGCGGCGGTGGCTGCGCCTTTAGCTACATTATGTTGCGCGCGTGTGTATATGTCTATTACGGCGAGCGAATGTGTTCTTCGCGCATGCGCATACTCATATTTTTCCGCATTGCCTTAACTTTGATTTTTTTCGTAAAATTTTTCATGATTTTTACGTTTATTTACTAATATTTGTGCCTTCTTGCGCTTGCGCTGTCTTCTTTTCTCCTTTTCATATTTTTATGTTGTTTAATTTTATTTTTCTTTGTTGCGCGTCGTTTGCGCGCTCTTCTGGAATTTTATTAGTCCGCACAGCTGGAGCTGAAAGTGTGAAAGAACAAAACGCACCGACGCATTGCTTTAATTTTTCGGGTGGCGCACGTTTGTATGTAGTGCGCGGCTTATTAGTTTGCACTGTAAGCTTATTGTAGGTCGATGCTGGCCTGCCAGGCCGCGCTTGAGTTATTAGTCCCACCTTGCATGCAGCGTTCAAGTCTGCACTTTAACATCGGTTGGCAGCCGCTCAGTTTGTTTGAGTGATCCTCTGACATGATCACTGCATATGCGGCTGCCTTATTTTACATTTTTTTGTTTAACGTTTTCTTATATTTTCGCATTTGTTATTAACGCTCAGCCGCGCAGCTGGCCAAACGCACACAATTTTCGCCTGTCGGTTTAACTAAACTACATTTCCATTTCGTGCACGTTTTATTTCACTCTGCTGCATAATTTCCATACAATTTAAATTTGTTGCTCATTTGGATTTGTTTTGCTCATTCGTGGCGCGTTGCATAAACAACTACACTTGCGCGCTCAATAACCGCAGCAATTGGCTTTTTGTTTGCGGCTTTCATTGCCGCTTTTGCTGTTGCTTTGTAATTGTTGTTGTGTGTGTCTAGCAAATTATTCAAATATTTATTATTTTACAATGCAAAATTTGCATTCATTTCAGCATTTAAATGCGATCGTGCGAACTGATCTCATCATAGACTCAAGCGCGCACACACACGCGTACACAAACACGCATGCGCCGGCACTCAAGTGCGCTTAAAGTAATCCTACGCCATCACAATGGCATAAATGAGTATTAAAATTTCGTGCAACGGTACACGCGCTCACAGAGATGAGCTGTAACAATAATAATAAAAATAAAAGCAGCAAAATATTTAAAATATGGAGAACAAAAACAGACAGTTTGTCTACGAAAACTTCGCATTGTCTTGCAAATGATTGCATTATACCGTTATGCTCTACTTCGAATCTAATTGAGTTGCCACAATTGGCTCGTAAGTCTAAGTGCGTTGGTAAGCGCGTCGCTTCTTTGAGCAGAGATTTGAATAAGTGCGCTCACTAAGCCCAATTATCTTAGCGGCGCATTCCAAAGTAATAAGCCATTGTGTAAACATATGGTAAATAGTTCAAATGCACAAAGCAAATGAATGCGCTTATGTTATCTGCATTGTGCGCCTGATCTTTACGAGGCTTGCCAGGCTACCACACACGCGCTTGCCCAAAGCCATGAGCATATTGTATAACTCAACATTAGTCGACACAAATGTTACCAATTTTAAGTATAGTTTAATTAAATGCTTGTGACGCGTTGATAAAACTGATGCGCGCATGTTGAAAAAACAAATTCATCACACGATGACAATTTTGTTAACCGCACATGCAATCATATAAAGTAATAATGATATATTAACAAAAATAAAAAAAAAAATAGTTAGAAATAACTCTACAGCTAGTAAGGCTCATTTAAATACACCACTATATCACTTAAACTCACCAAATTCACCACAATACTAATTTAAACATTGTACCTTACATTACTTGCAGGACAAGGACGCGTCAACCAACTCGGCGGAGTCTTCATTAATGGACGTCCACTACCCAATCACATACGTCGTCAAATTGTCGAAATGGCCGCTGCCGGCGTACGCCCGTGCGTCATCTCACGCCAGTTGCGCGTCTCACATGGCTGCGTCTCGAAAATATTAAACCGCTACCAGGAAACCGGCTCCATACGTCCAGGCGTTATTGGCGGCAGCAAGCCGCGCGTTGCCACACCGGATATTGAGTCGAAAATTGAGGAGATGAAGAATGCCAATCCCGGCATTTTCAGCTGGGAAATACGCGCTAAACTCATTGAGTCCGGTTTGTGCGATAAGAATACCGCGCCTTCGGTTAGCTCGATCAGCCGCTTGCTGCGTGGCGGCAATAGTGGCGCGCACTCTGAGTCAGGCAGCTCAGCGCATTCCATTGATGGCATACTCGGCGCTGGCGGTTTATCGAATGGCTCTGGCGATGAGAGTGACGATGATGCCGAACCGGGTGTACAGCTGAAGCGCAAGCAGCGTCGTTCGCGCACCACCTTCTCGAACGATCAAATCGATGCATTGGAGCGCATATTCGCACGCACACAATATCCGGATGTATACACACGTGAGGAGTTGGCGCAGAGCACCGGCCTGACCGAAGCGCGCGTACAGGTGTGGTTCTCGAATAGGCGTGCGCGTTTGCGCAAACAATTGAACACCACACAACAAGTATCCAGCTTTGCTGCTAGCACCGCGGGTGGACTCAGCTCGGCAGGCTTTGCTAGCGCCGCCGCCGTTGCTTCACAATATCATCCACATCACCATGCGCATCATCATCATCATCATAGCAGTGCTGCTGCTGCCGCCGCTGCTGCTGCACACACCATGTCCGCTTCGGCTGCTGCACTCTCACACAATCACTCCCATCAAATGGGTTTATACAGTCAAGCTTGGAATACATTTGGCAGTAGTGCCGCCACACAAGCCGCGGCCGTTGCTGCTGCCTCTAATGTCTTTGAACCGCATCAGAATTTCGCTCACTCAAGCGGTTCGGTAGCGTCTATGTCGCCAACAAGTAGCGCCGCCAGTTCGGCTTCACTGAGTCCAGCGCATCAGGCAGGCGCTACTGTCAGCAATACCAACAACGATGTGGGCAACAACAATTACAGCAACAACTCAAATTACGGCATGCCGTCGGCCACCACAACCAGCTCAGCTACATCTGTGGCTGTCAATAGCAGCTCTGCACCAGCCACTGCCGCAACCAACTCTGCACCTTATGCCACATCCTCCACAGCTTATGGTTTAAGCGCCAGCAGCAACTTCACCACTGCCACTTCAGCTGAGCAGCTACGCTCGCAATTCGCTTCGGCTGCTGCTTCGGGCTCCCATCATCCCGCTATGTCGTCATGGGACTCGTACAATTTCCCCGGCTCGTTCTTCTCGTCGGGCGCAAATCACATGGGTGGCTATTCGCAGAGTATGAGCGAGCACAAATCGGCAGCCAGCGCAGCAGGCTATCCTTATTTCGGTTTCTAAGTTGATATGAAATAGAAATCGTGAATCACAAAGCTCTAGCAATTATATTGTAAGACTGTAGAATCAGTAAATCAGTAAATCAGTGAGGAACTTATATAATTATTATAGTGTAGAAACTACGGGACCACTCAACCAGTTGAATAGATAAATTATACCTGTGCCTCGATAATTTTAATATATTATATATGAACTATGGGTATTCTGTAGAGCTCAAGACTGAGTACTTTGTATGTATTTAACTGATTATTTTACTTTTGTTGTATTCTTTATAATTATTTTGGCATGTATTTATTTCCTAAGATACATATTGAATTTAAGTTAATTAGATTTTAAGTAATTAATCGTTGTTTAGTTGTGAATTTTTCGGCAAACCAATAAAATCTATTTAGAAAATTAAAAAATATGTGTTCGTTCTTTATAAGTATATTTGTCAAAACTCAGAACTAAAAAATCTAATTTTTTTTAGTTTCTCGCCGCTGTTTTGGAAATTAAATGTTCCCAGCATAGCTTTCGAAGTGCACATAAAATATTGAGAGCGTAGTTTGCTCAGCTTCCAACACAAAAATGAACGTATTTCTTTTGCATATTCTAACGTAAAGCAAAATGTATCTTATTTATACCTTCCACAGAAACGCTGGACTGCTTAGACCATAGAATAGCATATTGCTAACTCTGAAATGAAGCAAACTTTCGAAGCTCAAAGCTTTCATACTAACGACCCGCTCTCACAAAGTTAGTAGGAACTTTTCGCAGTTGGAAACTTTCATAATAAAAACTTTTTGCCGCATAGTAATTGAGTCGATCTAATTTTCGAGGCTTTGCAGTAAAAACTTTTTATGACATAGTATTTAGGTAAAGCAAGCTTCCGAAGCTCGTAACTTTCATAATCAACATAGTAACTGAGTAGGGCAAGATTTCGACGCTCGAAGCTTTCATGGTAACAACTTTATCTAACATAGTCAATAGGTATAGCAAACTTTCGACGCCCAAAGCTTTCATAATAACCACTTCATATAATCACTAGGTTAACCCAGTTTTCGATACTTGAGGCTTTCATAATAAAATCTTTTTCTCACCTAGTCACAACTTTCTACGCTCGAAGCTTTCAAAATATCAACTTTTTCTCACATAGTAACTGGGTAGAGCTGGATTTCAAAGCTAGAAGCTTTCATGGTGAATATTTTTTTACATATTCACTAGGTAAGGCAAGCTTATGACGCTCGAAGCTTTCATAATAACCACTTTTCTCATATAATCACTAGGTAAACCCAGTTTTCGATACTTGAGGCTTTCATAATAAAATCTATTTATCTTTTTATCATATAGTCGTTAGGTAAAGCAAGCTTTCGAGGCTCTAACCTTTTAAGCTTTCAAAGCTCGAAGCTTTTTTAAAAACAACTTTTCTTCACATAGTAACTGGGTTAAGACAACCAAATTAAGTTCGTGTGTCAGAAATATTTCTGGAAAACTGATATGAAATATTTGAATTAACTGACCATGTCATGATAAATTTGGTTTAACCGATCATTCCACCATATATATATGTATATATATAATATATAGAAGAGAGATTATTAGTATACAAAACCAATAACTGCCGAGTTAGAGCACTTAAGTCCCCATAGACGGAAATTATGACTACTTATTGGAGTACGAAATTCATCGATCGTCAAAAGCGATCATTTCGTCATTTCTAACAATATTACAAAAACATTTTAAATTTATATCTTTTAGCACTATAGTCGCAATGACAATTTTATGCTTCATAGAGGTATTTCTACATTCCTTTACTCTGAGTTTGTCTGAAAAACCTCACAGTCTGTCGGATAAGCCTTTACTGATCAAAAAGATATTTAGAGAGCATCTGCGGAATACTACAGTATTAGTAAAAAAATATTTTTTATACTCTATATAGCTAACTTAGTCTATATATTCATACTTTTATACATATATACAATACTATATTTATTTTTCTTTATATATATTTTACACATCTTCAAGCCAGCAATTGTGTTTTAACAAGCGATTGTAGTGCTAACTCACTTAATTATCAAACTAATTCGATTTGCCCAATTGAGCGCCGACAATATATACCGACATCACTTACCGCCTACTTACACCTATTATGAATACACATACGCATCTAAGATTCCCGCATTCTCTGCACGCCGGAGTCGGCGAAGATCAAACAACAAATACGTTGGTGGTCGTCATATTGTTTTTGCACATCGCTCTCCGCCTCCATCACCACACACTCGTCCGTTATTAGCTGCCTAAGTATTTAGGCTCTTTGTAATTGACTGCACACACACACGTGCGCACACCTATTCCACCTTTTGTTGTTGTCTATTTAACTTTTCAAAAATATATTCCATTTAACATTTGGTAAAATTATTTTCATATTATCGAATAGTTGCTCTAAATTTCGACTCTTCTATGCGTCCAACAACAATTACGCTTCATAGTTATTGAACTGTCGTTTGGTTGAGTCGGTCCTTAGCCATGGTGTCTACGTTGCATTGTGGTGGAGGTTGGTCATGTCTATCTGTTGACAAAGCAGTTTTTCTTTTACAACAATGTGGGCCAAATCTTGTTCCCACTCTATTCCAATTTAGTTCGTTTTGTTGTTGTGGGGAAAACGTGTCTTCAACAATTGCCAATTGTTCGTCATTATTTTATTGTTTCTTGCTTGCTTTAACACGACATCACTTTTTTTGCCATTGTTGTTAGTTTTTAATTTTTTTTTGCTTCTTTTTTTTTGTTCCAAGCGAGTGCTAGTGTTTTGGAAAATACAAAACTCATGGAACACACAAGTCGTTGTTGGGTGTGGTGAACTTCTGTGGTGGGAATTGCACTTGTCATATTTGCTGTCATCTTTTTGATTAAACATCATTTAGTTTTCTATAGAATCAAATGGAATTAATAAGGTATTTAGAAAACCCTTAAGGGCCATAAGCATTATACAAAAACATGACGTTTATATTTTGTTTCTCTCTAAGCCAAATCGAGTGGGTTGAGCTAAAGTCCTTACGTTTGGTTTAAAACGTTTTCTTGTTGCAATATTATTAATGATGAACATTAGATATAATAAAAATAATATATATATGTCTCTGCTGGTTAGTAATCCATTACAGTTACTTCGGAACAGTAGATCAATTAAAGTTTTTGCTCTCAATCCTCTGATCTGTCCAAATTGTTTTCTCAAACTTCTATCCAAGATTCTCTCTACCATTCACAATCACTGCGGCTATATATCCACTCAAAGACTCTCTTTCTCGCGCCCTTCCTCTCTAACGTATGGATGATCTAGGGACACTCACATAAACTGTGTTTTCAAGGACTGACTTAACTAACCTCTAACCTTTCCACCTCTTCCTTCGTCTGGCTGGACTTGGAGCTAGTAAATAATATCCTAATAGCTTACGAAAGAACTTGGCCTGTAAGTCTAATATCTAACCTCATATGAACCGTTAGGTATCCTCTTTCGAGTTAATATAACTGTATAATGAGTATTTCTCTACAAACTGAAATCAAATTGAGTTTCTTCTAGTATTTTCTACACATTATGAGAGGCATTAAAATTTTTCCAAGCGCTAATAGAATGTATAATTGGCAGGTACACCCTTCGAAGTAGGTGTAACTGTAACATTTATGCACAACAACAACCATAGACATGCACTCAAATAGTTTAAATAGTTATCTTAGAGCGAGACTCGAAACTAGCACTTGTCACTAGATGTAAGTATCAGCTTTCGGCATCTACAAGTATCGCACTGACCTTCAGTTTACGAGTATATAGAAAGATTTGAAGATAAATACATTCATGCTCAGGGGCCTGCCTGCAACCACTTGGCTATGGGACGGGAGCAATGCCGAGAGCGTCGCAATTATTTGTTCACAGCGGGCGTCATACTTACCACCTATGATGATGAGCCCTATCCAGAGATCGCTACAAGCAGTAGCAACAACAACAGCAACGAGTTACACATGCACTGCCTACTGTTGCAACGCTGGCAGTGTGTGGCATGTTGCAGATAGACATGCATTGTATTGTAATAAAATCATCAATTAGTTATCTGTAGTGTGGACAGGTCCTTTGCATGCTCATGTGGCGCGTGATAATAGAATGTCAACGTCTTTGGCAGTACAAAAACAAAAAATATACGAGCAACGACATAAAAAGTAGTTGAACGCACGTAATTGATCGCCTCTAAGATTTCAATAGCTTTGTGTGTGTGCATTATGCTTGCAACTTGCCATCTTGCCACTTCCTGTGGCGCATATACATGTCCTCGGCTTCGTTCTCATCGCTTGACGGTTTTGTCACTTTGTCAACGCTTTTGTTGTTGTCGCACACTCACGCACACACACAGTAGCAGTTTAACTGTGTATTTCTTTTTTTTTTTTTGCTTTTTATATTTGGTGCCCTCAATGAGTAATCTTTGGCCACCAACTTTGATATTTTTATAGAAGTTAAATTTATGTGGCAGCCTGTTTATTGTCTTTGTCTAACTGCTAGTTGTTGTTTGAAAAAGCCGTCAAAAGGCTGCCGTTTGTTGATTTGCCACTTTTGCCTGTTCGTTTGATTTATACGTTTTTGATAGTTCGACTTCCTCTCGGCCACTGCATGTGTGTGTGTGTGTATGCGAAAATCTTTTGACTTCTTGTCTTGTATTTCGCCTTTCTTAATTGTTGCAATTCTGTGCAGCGTGTGTGGCATGATATTGTGGTTGAAGTGCTGATCTGAATGTTGGGTAGTTCGGTAGCAAAATTCTGCGGATGGCTAATGATCGATGGCTTGAAGGAACCACTTGATATTACTTGTAGAAAAAATGTTAACTTCGGATAGTAGAAAACCACTAACAAACCAAAAATTTGAAATATAAAAAAAAACCTGAATTTTAAAAGATCAGTTTGTATGGCAGCTATAAGCTATGGTCAACCGATCTAAACAATTTGTTCGTAAATTCTAGAGTTGACTTGGATTATAAATCACACCAAATTTCTTAAAGATAAAAGTTTTCCCTACAAGGACTTGATTTTTATGGGTTATTTAGTATGGCAATTATATGCTATAGTGGTCCGATTTGAAAGTTTGATTGGAGATTATAGCGTTGTCTTAAAAAATTATATGTGTCAAACTTCGTGCAGATAACTTGTCAAATAAAAAAGTTTTCCATGTAAGAACTTGAGTTTGATCGTTCAGTTTGTATAGCAGCTATATGTTATAGTGATCCCGATATCAGCGGTTTCAACAAACGAACTGCTTTTTGGACATTGTCCAATAGACATTAATGCGGTAAGGCTAAAATC